CAATAGAAAAGTTGCAGAAATTGAAGAAAGGAAACTTGAAATTATGAACACAAATGGTTAAAATAAGGGCTAATGATGATTATTATGATATTGATAAACTCAAATAAAACTCGAGAGATAAATAAACACTAATGTATCATCTAACACAAGAACTCTTTACCTTTATCAATTATTGCTTTGAAAAATTACTTGATGTATTGATGATGAAAAATTACTTGATGTTTCAATCACCTAGTCAATGTGAAACCTCTTGTTTTTCTAAAATCTCCATAAGTTTCCATAAACCTTATCGGATATTATTGGAGTCCATGGATTTCCTTTGTCCGTTGGTCAAAACTTGTACAAGGAGCGTCTACTTTTTGCAAAATCCAGCCATTGATCCTATGGAAAGGCTCTTGTTATCATCCGGTTCATTGCCAAGAGATTATTCTTTCCTTGATCTGTATATAGTAATGTAATAAAGATATATATCCAAATACTAGATTATATATTATCATTTTTTCCATTTTCGTTGTTCTTGTTCGGGAGATATTTATTTGTTACATATGGGAAACTGTTAATCACCTCTCTATCTTCTCTCATTAGACCTACTCAGCACTCTAGAATCCGTGGAGAATTAAATCAATAGTTAGAGCAATTTCTCTACATCTTCCCCCGCAATTTTCTCCTGTTTTCTCCCATCCATCCCTAATATCTGCCAGTAAAAAAAACACCTATTCTGAGATGCATCTAATGCAGGTCCATCTTTTCTAATTAGTACCACTCCATGAGAGGCTTTTTATCACCAACCACGATCTTAATGGAAAAACCATAATCCAATAACCACAATTGTTGATTATGTTTTCTATGTGGAAAGGACAAAGGAAGATGTTCTAACAAGAGTGGCTTACTCGCCCAATGAAAGAGATTTCAAGTTCCGATCATGGAAGGCAAAAATTAATGTGATGATATTCTACTAAATTTCATGATGAATAAAAAAGGAGGAAATTTCATATACTACAAAACCACCAAATAATTTTGGCATGTGGGAGGAACAGAGGCCTGCGCCAATGTTAATAATATCTTAGCCATAATGAAGATCAAGAGCATTATCCATAACCTAAGCCAAGATGGCAAACATCATCGTTATATATTTCAACACTTTTTAGCAAATGAACATATCTGAAGAAATGAAATGGAGGTGCCCGGAGGATAGCCACTAATATAAGAAGAAAGTAAACCACAAATGAGCATTCAAGTTCTTTCACTTGATCTAAGAAGAAAAAAATATATGCTATTCATGAAAAAATCTTAGGCAAAAAAGCCTCTACCCAGTAATTTGTGAAGCCTTTTCTAAGGTTCGAAGAAGAGAAAACATTGCAGTTGCCCAACAATGTTCAAAATTCTGACAAAGACAACACTAGCCCTGCAACATGAGAGCCCCAATTCAACTGTAAGGGTGATAGGCACAAGTAGATCAAATCACAGCTCAATTGTTCTCATAAGACTGGACACACTGGTGACGAATGCTAAATTATATATAGAAAATCCCCCAAACTGGTAAAAGCTACTTTAAAAAATAAATAAATAAATAAAACCAGATGACAAATAAAACACAACATGAAATGATGAAATGCATCGCAACAAGGTCACTATTGAGACTCCAACAACATCTAACCTAAGTCGATTCAGTAAAGAGTAGCAAGTTAAATTCCATTAGAAACTAATAAAAATTTCAACAAACCCTCCAGGTCATTGGATATGTGATGCAATCATCTTATGTTTTGAATAAAGGAAATTCTCTAAACACCCTATATTATATTTGAAAAAGCAAAGTCCTGACTTGTCAACTCGGGTGTTTATAACCACATGATTAATGATATTGTGATTTTTTATTAATACAAATCCTGCTCTGGAAACCTCATTAAATGAATTATAGACGAATCCCTTTTTTACCATTACTGGCACTGAGTCTATCATATTTTCCAAGGACAATGTCCTTAAATCTATGCTTCATATTCTGAAATTGGATTGTAACCTTCCTTCCATCAACAAAATTACAAAAGATCATCATTGTGCAACTAAATTCCTTCCAAATATGTGCAAATTTCAAATCTTGAATTTGGAGAAGAAGACTGGGAAAGCTAAGATAATTGTTGTCTCAACCACTTGGGGAAAAAAAAAAAAAGGCATGCGACAACCATAGAAAAAAGGCAAATGTGCTTAATACTTTAACGTAAAAAGGAGAATTTCATCAGTTATAGCACCATCACTTTAGGTCATATGAATATCTTGTATCTAAAAGATGATTTTCCAGCATATTCAAACAATTTTGGCTCTAATCAATGCAAAGCCTTTTAAGTATCTAAACACGCCTATAACGCTTTCTGCAGTCACTCATACAAATATAGCACCTTCTAGGGTCAACAATATCATTGGCTCAAGATAATTAATTATATTTATTAATAACCACTCTAGCGTTATGTTATTGTTTTTATGAGGATAAATATGAAGTCAGTGCATATTTCAAAATTTCAATAAAATGGTGCAAACTCAATTTCAAGCTAAAAGCCAAATACTTCAAAATAACATAAAGCATGCATACTATCTGTCACCCAACATTTGGGCCCTATTAATCGGATCATAATGGAGTCCATCAACCCACGTGTTGCACTACAACAAAATAGAACCAGAAAAGAAAAAATAAACATCTAATAGAAATTGCTCAATCATTCATCCTTAACTCATCAAATCAAAAAATTTTATAGAAGGGTGTTATAATTAATAATTAAATTTCTTATAAATCATAGACCGAACTATCAAATTCCTTTCAAACCATCCTCCATACTTATCCTCATGCTCAAATCATCTCGTCTATTCTAGCCCAAATTTTAATTTGCACTTCCTTTGTGAACCTAGATAACTCAAAATATATTTTAATTGGATACAAGCCACATAAAAAAAGGGTTTAAGTGTTCTTTAACATCCACAAAAAAATCCAACATTGCCATGAATGCCACCTTCAAAAAATCAACCCTTTAATACCATATAGCTGATACTAAGAGGTAGACTTTCAAGGAATAGCACATTTGTAAAAATAGGCCTGTTATTGATATATTTTGCCCTCCGTACTAGTTAAAATATATTTCAGTCAAAATAATATTAATCTGGCAAACTCACCAAAAACTAGTAGCCACGCTTTAAATTCCAAACAAAATGCCACTCCAAAGGCTCTGTTTGGGATCACTTTTTTTATTTTTTGTTCTTATCTTTGCTTTTAGTTTGTTTTGTTTTTGTTCTATTTTTTATTTTATATTCTTAAAAAACATATTTGGTAATGTTTTGATTTATCTGTTTTTAAAAACAAAGAATATAAAATATGTATGGCTAGAAATTTCTTTTTTTCTTATTTTTTAAGAAAACTCTATAATTTTAAACAAAATATATCACCAAGGAGAGAGTTTCGGGCCACACAAGCATGATTAAAGATAGCAAAAAAATATGAAAGTTTGGCTGTTATATATGAAATTTGTAAATACACGAGAATCGTGTGGTATATATGTAATTGCGCCTAAAGGAAGAATGATTATTGTTGCAAGCCCAAGGACAAGATCTCTGAGCCTGAAATAACCAAACCAGAAAAAACCTTACTATCATCCCACGTTAATGCATAGTAACATTCATATTCGAAAAGCTTCTCAGCTTTATAGAGACAGAAAAAAAGGGAACCACCATTAATTCAATCAGCTAGCAAGCAAAAGCTAGCTCTAGCTGGAAGAATCATAGCAGATAAGACAATGAAGTCAAACGGGATAAAACACAGAACAAATTGTTTTATTTATAAAAGAATCATAGGAGTTGAAGACAGATTCTGGATCGATGAAAGGAAGCTTCTCTATATACATGAAAAGACGTAGCAGATTTTCTCTGGATACAGCTGAAATGTCTATTATATCTTTGTTTTCTGTGAAGATTCCCGGGTCGCCACAGCTAACTCCCTTAATTCTGTCACGATAAAAAGGGCAGGATTGCAATCTTGGATGTCTGCAACGGGAGAATTTTCAAAAACAAAAAATTACAATTTGAATCATTTTAAAAGTTGGAGCGGCCTTCGAACTCGGTGGAAGGGGACAAACCCAGCAAGGGCTGCGGAATTGCCGAAGCGCTGGGGGAGAAGGTTGGGGTCGAGATCATTGTCGAAGTCAGTAGCGAAAAGAGTCTTCTACAGCATCTCAGTGTCGTTGGCTTGATTGCATCCGCTGGAGTAGTCAGTAATAGGAGGAGAATCGAAGCCATAGAAAGCGAAGGGATTCGTGAGCAAAGGTGAGAGGGAAGGGGGTCGGCATCGTCGCCTATGACGAGGGAGACAGGCGACGCGAAATGTTGTTTTCAATGTTTCAAAAATAGGCAAATCATGTTTTTTCTGTTTTGAATATTTTAAAAATAGAAGTGCTTTTACAAAAAATAAAAAATAAAAAAATATCAAAAAACAGATAAGCAAACACTAATTTTTGCTTTTTTTTTTTATTTTTTGTTCTCAAAAACAAAAAATAAAAATTGATCCCAAACAACCCCTAAGGAAATGATTGTATACTCTAGACAACTGAAAATCTAAAATGGAATTGAGATACAAGCTCCTATTGCAGAAAATCATGATTCTAAATTAAATATAGAGACCTCTCAACCCCACATCAACAGGAAAACAACAAAACCAACTTTATATGATCTTTGATCAAACTATTGCAAGTAAGTAAGACATTAGATCTTGTACTGAATGCCCTATTAATAATTGTATTCTGTAACAGCGTAGCTCCTATTTATCATACCCTTATTACCTCACTAATAGAGATACAAATTCTAAAAAACCTTTAGAAGCTCTAGGGTAAACTTAATCTAAGTGATTGCAATGAATGAAATTGATGCCCTTGAAAGAAAGGACAACTAAAAATTCACCAAATTTTCAAAAGGAAAAAAGCTAACTGCATGTACGTAAATTTTTTTTATTAAACACAACATTGATGGAAGTGTAAATAAATTTAAAGTTGCTTGGTGGCCGGTAATTTCGCCTAGTCTCATGGCACAAATTATGAGAAGACATTTTCCCTAGTTGCTAGACTTGGCTATAGTCGTGACTTTCTATCCCTTCAAAAAGCTAGACCACCCCCTACGCCTATTTGATACTAAATTTCTTTTCTAAATGATGATCTTGAAGAAGAAGTCAATCTGGCCTTGCCCTTAAACTTGAGAATCAAGTCAAATTAGTGACGTTTGCAAACATTGAAAAAAAAAAACTTAACTGAACTAAAACTATTATTGTGTGCATGGTTTAACCAATTATTAAGGGTGATTACAATGCATGGATTCTATTAATGTCAAACCAATCATATCATGTTCATAAAACATGCCAATTTATTGGATTGTTATAATGACTATCTATAATGATACTTTATTCTTATAAAAAATAATAAAGGGGGAAAAAACCAACTTAAGGAATTGTTTGATAAAATAAATATAAATAAAATATTTGGAACAACATCACTATTTCCTTATAATAAAAATTGTTGTATCTCAAAGAAAGTATGTTCTTAATATTCTTGAAGAAACTAAGTGCAAAAAAACGAAAATTTCTAGAGACCCAAATGTTCAAAAAGGGACTAAGGATTGAGGTACACTTGCTCATAAAGGAGGATATCAGAGATGTGGGGAACTCGATTTATTTAAAAAAATAGCATATATATTTGCGTCTCAATTAGTATGGTCAACAAATTCATACTATTTTAGAAAATGCAAAGAAGAGTTGTTTTTTTCAAAACTTCAATATCTAGAGTAATCTTAATAGAAGAATACATTTTATGAGACTGTCGGTCAACTTTTTTTGATTGATTAGTTTAGATTTTGAAAATATGAAAATATGAAAATAATTTTTGAGATTTAATTTAAGTATAAGAGATATATATAGTTTGGGTTTTGAAAGTAGTATGTTTTAATTTTTTAAAAATGAGACCAAGTGGATCTCATTCGTCCAATAGTTTGCATAATCGTGTCTGATACCGCGAATACTACACCCTCCCGAAAGATAAGTGTAGACCTCGGCGATAGACCCAATCTTGCAAACTAAGAGATTTGTGACATCCGTTTAGTCTGCGAACCTTTTATATATGAACGACAAGTTCCCCTATCTAATACAAAGATTAAATAGGGTTTATTTTACCTGGGTTCCAAGTTCCCTATAGAAGCAAGCCCCTATAGTTAATTACATCCCAAATGACAGGAGTCACTTGAGAAAACTCTCGATAATGATCAATGGTTCTAGTCTTCAAGAATTCAAGGTTCAGGTTTTCAAGGTAGGACGTAGAAGGGCAAATGGGAGTGGCTCAAACATGAACAGTTATTTCAGGAGTCCAAAGGAAAGAAAAGGTAGGGGATGTCACAGATCCTGAGGAGAACCCTCAGTGACTTCCCAAACTATCCTAATATGTGGC